ACGACGACACACACACACACACACACACACACACACACACACACACAGAGGTTTATTTCTAAACTGAAAAAAGTTAATATGGAAATCACCAAGAGGCAAACATGAAGCCCCACAATGCCACTTTTAGTCACTTTTCAGAAAAGAAAAGCACTTTACAATTATTTTTGCTAATATTTTAAAAATATTCTGTTTGTTGTGGCTCTAAGTGTTGCTTCCCATACACTCATTGGAAGCTGTCTCATCCTCCCCATATGCACAGAGGTGCCAGAGAAGAAGGAAGAGCAGCACTCTGACAAGTAATGAAACATCCTGGAGATATTTAAGAGTAGGTTAGATAAAATGTCTATCAGGGATGCTCTAGACAGTATTTGGTCCTGCCATGAGGGCAGGGGACTGGACTCAATGACCTCTCCTAGAATCTATGAATCCTATGCTCTTTTCTTTGCTTTCAAGATTTCCTTTGGGCTCTTTTATGAGCCTTTTTTCCATCTTGAAAAAAGGTCTCTGAATAGAACCAAAAAAAAAAAATAGGTAGCGACCACCCACAGCTACCTGAGCTGCCTTGCTCCATGTCTAGCTTACAGAAAAGCAGGAAGAATCCAGGGATAAATACCAATAAATGCATAAAATTTCCTATAAGGCAAAAATAAATAAATAAATATTGCTTTCTTATTGGCTGCCCACTGCCTGCCTGAATAAAGGAGGAGAAAAACTCTTTGCCATGTTGTCAACCAAGTCATTTTTCTGTTGACATCAGAAGATACTATTATACGCTCTAGTACAATATGCAATACTAATACAAAGACAGACAAATACAGGTACTAACTTACATGCCAAATATAAGTTTTATTTGGAAGTTTTATTTAAATTAAAACCATTTGGTACTGAAATATTTATGTTTAGAAATTAAATAATGTATACCATTTTCACAATAACATTGACATAAAATTACCCAAACAGGCTGATCTGGGAACCTAAAGTGACAATATAACTAGCAATATCTTTTAGAAGAACATCAACATCTGATTAAAGCAAGCTCTTAATGCAAAGTTTCAGCATTTATTGATCCTGTAACAAAAGGTGTAACAAAAAGCCTTAACAAAACTGGTATGCAAATTCTTCATCACAGGTGTTCTAGTTTTGAGCAGTAATAACTTAAAATACTACACTTACATTTTGCGACTGCACACAAGAATCCATTTCCTTAATCTGCTGTCCAAGGGCATTAACAACTGACTGGCCGGACGTAACCATATTGTTGATCTTTTTAGAAGCTGATTCATTTATTGCAGATCTTATTATCTTAGTAGTAAATAATGTGTCTTCATTTTGAAAGGAATAAGCAGAACAGAACAAAATTCAGTGAGTGACAGACTGTGAAGGCACTGTGCTTTCAGGCTATAAAACCAATGAAAATGCTTATTTTCCACTTGTGAACAACACATACTGTATGTATATGCTCTCAAAAAGTCAAGTATATTCATATAATCCACCAGTGCTAAACCTCAAACTTCTGGCTCACAATTCAGGCACTCCATAGTTAAGATTTTCAGTTAATTCAAGAACATCCACAATAAATTATGTGCAATGTTATTGGAGATGGAGTAGCCATCATTTTCTTTATAAAAATTTTTATTCATACTTAAAGAACAATGAGAAGTATAACTGTAATAACCAGAATGCCCTGCAGACCAAAACACCATGATAATTATCCATTAATTGGACAGCAAATAAGCTAGCTCAGTTCATTTTGTGAACTTTCTTTAAGAACCAAGCCACCCACATATATATGAAGATACTACAGAATACCAGTCACACTCAGAGAAATAACACCAATCTTAGAAATAGACCCTGTAGCAAAACCAAAAAAACTCCACAGTTTAATTGAGAAACTCAGCATCTATTCATAACAGCCAACATGACATTGCTGTATGCAGTGCTGTTGTAGTCATGTTGGTCCCCAGATATTAGAGAGACAAGCTGAGTGAGGAACTATGTTTCATTACAGCTCTGTGTGGGGTCAAAAGCTTGTCTCTCTCACCAACAGAAGTTGGTCCAATAAAAGATATCATCTCACCCACCTTGTCTTTCTAACTTGACATTGGGGCATAAACAGTGAAATTCATCCTAGGATAGGAAGTAACGCACATTCAACAATTTATAGGTCAGTAGCCTAGAATGTGGTGGTTTTCTGTAACTACTGAAATACTACAGACTACATACACTCCTTTCAAAAAAAGCTTGAGCTGATGACAGGAGTTTCTACCTATAGTGCGGGAGAATATATTGGTAAGTGACCACGTTGCAAATCAGATGCCTTTTGCTCTTCTGAAGAGCTGATCTCTTTCAGGTTTTAGCTCTAGTACTGTTGGTTATGAAATGGTTGTTTGCTTCTAGGACTACCTGAAGTATTTTTCCTAGGAATTTTAAGGAAGACAAATAAACCTTTCCTTACCAGCCACCACTGTCACCATTTTATCCAGAAGCTCCCTAAACTGTCGGGCTCTCAAAATAAGGGAACAGACAGGAGCTGTTTTACCCTCAAGTGTGCTCCATATGCTTCCTGGAGACCACATTAGATGCTATAGACTGTGCTGAGAATCTGAGAGCATCCACAGAGTGGATGCCTGCAGTGCCTCAGAAATAACAAATATTGCCCACAAGATGCCAAAACTGATCAGGAATTTTACTAAGTTCAAATGAACCAAATCCTGAAGTTTTTCTTTATTTGTAGTTCAGTTCCCACTGTACAAGCCACTTGGAAGCCGAGAATTCTGGCAGAGGTTTTTTCTTAGTGGGCAACCTCAATATCAGATTAATGGGCATTAAGGAAAAAACTAATTCTGGAAATAAATGGGAAATAAAAGCAATTATTTCTTTGTATTTTCTAACAAGCTCCAAAATGCCCAACTGAGTATAAAGATAAAACGCATATAAAAAACAGGACAGGCCACACTGAAAGAGGTTACAATATCACTCCAATAAGTTGAACTATCCAAAAGGACTTTAACAGAAATAAAGATTTTTTAGTTGCAGAGAATATTTATACTTACTAAAGTAGAAACTATAACAGATGTACATCTGTTTTTGAAGGCAAAATTATTTTCTATTCAGTTGGTCAGCAATAGTTAAATAAATCTATTGGTGGAGCATGGGCTTTGAATAATTACATATGACTAGAGTAAAATGTAATTTTTAGTTGGGAGCTACAGCAGGTCAAAAAATATTTTTTCCTTTCTATGGAAAATTTTGAATTTTCAAAAGGAAATTGAAAATGTGTTTTGTTTTTTTTTAATTAAAACACAATGGTTTTTGAGGACAGCAGGCACTTTCCATAAAAACTTGCATGTCGTCAAAAATCAACAGAAGATTTGACTAGCCCAGTAAAGGAAGGTTTGAAATCCACATGTAAAATATGCTATAAAAGAAAGATTACATTTCTACAACGAGTTCTGGTAGGCCTATTCAAGCATAAACTGATTACATTTATTTTTCTTATTTTACTTTCAGACTGACTATGATATCCATGAGTCAGTGATATCAAAATGCATCAATCTGTTCAATGCAGAAAATATCATACAATCTGACTGCAATTTGAAAATATGATATCTAGGCCCACCCCTCAGGAACATGCAGGAATCCTGGGAATCTCACGCTGATTTATTCTTTCAGGAAAAATTAACACTGCTATAAGACTCTCATCTAAGAAGTGGAAAAAGTACATCACATAAAATCTAACACTACTTTGTGCGTGTAACATCAAAACCAAAAGCTCTCTGGATTAAACAAAAATTAACTTCTGAACTCTTCATTTAAGATAGCTTTATACACATAATTTTATCAGTTTACCTTTTTGCCTTGCTTTATCTGGAGGTGATTTGGCTTTCAAACTTGGCTTTTTGAGAGCTTCTTTTGATGCTCTCTTTTCACTAGTTGTGGAAAATTGTTTTAAGGGTGAAGTGGGTTTACCATACCCAGAACTCCTAACCAATATATGAGGTCCAATGGGAGATTTCTTCTTATGTAAAGGAGCTGTACTTCTAGTGCTCTTGTGCATTATTTGCTTATTAGTCACTGAATCCAATCCCTTGTTCCTCCAGGAGCTGGACTGACATGCCTGTGTAGAATAAGTATAGTTTGTAACAACCACATTAGACTATAATAAAATCTGAAGGTAACTTCAGTTTTATTCCTATTTAAATATAATTCTAGTAACTGAATACTGGGCCAGTTACAAGAGTTATACTTAAATAAACAGGAATACAATTCCTGTTGGAGCTGAAAATGAATAATCCAAACCCAAACAAATGAATAATGTGTAATTCTACAAAAATCTAGAGTGCTTTTAAGGTAGTGAAAAGAAGCTATCACACTGAGAATAGAAAACTGCCTATTAGGTGGAACTGACAACAGAGTAGAGATGAAAAAGACCTATTAGGTCATCTTGGAAATTGGCATTCAGCTTTGGAGCCATGACCCTAATCAATAGATAGCAATAATGTTTTCTTGGGAATCCCCAAATTATGGATAGACTCTAAGCTCCTAAAAATATTTCTAGCAAATTGTTTCTACAAACATATCTTCAAAATGTGATTTAAAATGATTTTTTAAACAGATAAAAAAGATAGCTAAATATTGCTTACCTTATTAATTTTGCTGTCCTGATGCAACAATGCAGAATCTTGTAGTACTGTTTGTCTCAAAAAGTCAAGCTGCTCTTTATCAATCTGGTCTTCTTTATCAGTCCCTTTTTGATGATTACCTTCATTTGCAGTTGCCTGGAGAAAAACACTCTCTTCTTCTTTACTATGTTTTTCAAACAAAGAATCTAAACTTTGCTTCTCCAGAACTGCATCATTTTTGAGTTCTTTAAATGGCAAATGGCTGACAAATTCAGCTGCTCTGTTGTCCGTTAGCTTTACTGGACTAAAAAATAAAAATAAAAGTGCATTTAACAAGACTTGCAATTTGCTTACAATTTTTTTTCTAAAACTGACACACAAACGCAATGTTATTTCCGTTGCCAGATCAAAAGACTGCTCATTTTTGAAATAGCTACTTGCAATACTTCTAAACTGTATTTACTAATGGAGTAAGTCTACTGGAAATAGATCTTGTTTTCAAAAGTGGCCAGACTAATTCAGACTACATATTCACTTTACACATCAGCACAAACGACACACAGTTATCTAGCACAATAAAATCTAGATTCCTAGCTCAAAAATGACCCTAGTTATTCAGAAAGATGATTTTCACAAATAATTTATGGGTATTAAGATGTTAAAACATGCATTTTCTAAAACAAATACCTTACAGGCTCCAGGTCAAAGCCTCTCACATGAGATGAATCTGCTCTAATGGGTTTCATCAATTCCTCTACAGTGAGCAAATCTAAGGAGTGAAATAAATTATTAATTTTAAGTATAATATTTAATACACAGTAATAAACTAGTTTTTTTAATTATTACAATTCTGAGTGGGAGATAGATTTAGAAAACATATTTGTATCAAATGCTATAACTGAGTATTTGACAAAAATGTCACGTATCTTTCTGAAACATGCCCCTTACTGATTTAACTTGGCATCACATAGATTCCAAGATATCTACCATGTAAATAATTCACTGATGTTGAAGAAAACAAAAAAACAAAAAAAACCTTGTCTCAACTGTAAAAGTAACTTCTAACACAAAAGTTTCAGAATCATTAATTTTGAGTGGGGTGGTATTTTTTGTCTTGTTTTTACAAGCACCCTCATTGTCCAGAAACTACATACAATCTCTCAGGTGTTATTCAGATATTTTAAGTTAGGCACAGGTATTCCAAATGGGTATCATTCTGCTTGATTAGTGCATAAAGTATTTATTGGCATTTTTAACTTAAATCGCTAACTACGTTTTAAGTGCTGTATTGAACAAACTGATAAGGATAATACAAAATCAGTAATAAATGAAAGCTATTAACTTGAACCTCATTAAAAAGCAAACAAAAGAGATACTGAGCTAAACTCTGACGAACAGTAGTGTGTAATTCTCCAAAATCTCCAGTGCTTCTAAGGTAGTGAAAAGAAATCACAGACAGAAAATAGAAATGGAAAAGACATACTAGGCCATCTCGGAAAATGGTATAAATTAGGAATAACTCTCAATTCCTTGGTGTATCTAAGAGCAGAATTTAGCTGTTAATGTTTGTCACATAGAAAAAGTGGGTAGAGAAGATCTTGTTTCTAAGCTTTAAAAAGGGTGTTACAAATACAAAGCAAATGAAAATCTTTTCTTAAAATAGAACTTTATGTAGTACGAATCTTTGTAGGCCAGATCCTACCCTCCTGTGGTAAAACCCATGGGAGAGAGTTGTTGGGGAAGGAGGTCTTTGCAAACATTGGCTCCTGTCGATTTCCCTATATTGTCGCATGCAAGTCTGTGTTGGGTAAGGGAATCAGAGCTGTCACAGAACATGACAGATCCCCTGGGATCTGCAGGCAGCCATCCACATGGAGATCCTTTACCTCTGCATCAGCTCTGGCCCCCACTAGCTCTTCCTTGGCAATACAATGCTATTGGAGAACTCTGTTCGCCCTGGATGCCTTTAGGATGCAACGAGGGTGCTTAATAGAAAGATAACTGTATCAGACTATATTATCCTTGCTGGGAATGTGGAACTTGCCTTCTCATCCCTATCACCTGTGTAGTCTTCACCCTCTCTACCACTGTAGATCATGATCCGGTGTAGCACTCTCTAAGAATTTGAGTAGAAGAGAAGAGATAGTGCCACTGATGTGGCTAATCCCCCATCTTGTGGGAGTAGAGATTCACACGCTGAAGATCCACTCCCTGGTTGGACTTCAGGGAGAAGATCGAGAGTCAAATTTTCAAAAGTGACTAAGTGATTCTGGAGCTTAAGTCCCATTTTCAAAAAGCACTTAGAAACTCAAGTCCCACTCAGTAAGACAGACGTAGGCATTTAGGAGAAAAGCTGGTCAGAAAAATTCCAACAAAATATTTTGTGTCATAATTTTCTGATACATGGAAATCAAAATATTTCAAGGAAGCAGTTTGAATTTGACAAACTTCTGACAGAACCCAGGAAGGTTCCTGGTCATCTCATCTGCCTGGATTCTCAGCAGTTGGGGCTTGCGGGTAGGATGAAATGCAGCTGGAACCCTGGAAAACCCAGCTCAGCCAGGAGCCTCAGAGCTGTCACTCCCAGGGTTCCAGCTTCAACCCACCAAGCATGTTAGAAAGGACCCAAGGCTTCCCAAGTCCCGGCAGATCACCATATGGGCTGCAATGAAGCCAGGAACCCTGGCCACGACAGACTGAAATTGACATGATTTTTGTTAGATCCATAGCTGCCCTTCAGTGAATAGCAGCAGTGAAGCTGACCAGAGTTTTGTCAAGTTAAAAGGTCTGGTCAGTTTCACCACTGTTATTCAGTGATGGACAGCAGTGAACCTGATAAGAATCATGTCAATTTCAATCTGCAACTGCCAAGGCATCATGGGTACCAGCTTCCCTGCGGCCTGCCAAAGAGGCAGCCGGGGATCCCAGGAGCATATTTTGTTTCAGAAACACCAGATTTTGGTGTTTCCAAAATGAAATGTTGCAGGATTTCAGTTCTGTGAAAATCTGTCCCACGTCAGAATTTAAAAAATTATGAAAACTCTAAAGTTTTCACATAACTGTAATTAGGTTTCCCAGCCACCTCTACTTGGGAGCCTAAGGCACTCTTGAAAATGGGACTCAGACTCTTCTGAAAAATTTTACCCCTAGGCTTATATATTTTACTTGTGTATGTGATATTACAGTTTTGTTTTTTCAATTTTTAAAAAGAGATTTGTTTTATGCAGTAGAGAATATTGGAGTCAATAGTAAATGCAGAAATGCTTTAAGTTTTAGCTCTTTTGTTTGAAATCATTCCTTTAAGTAACTTGAACACACTTCTCATGTGTAACTTGAACACAACCCAAAACATACACTGATTTTACATAATTTGAACAAGAAAGGAATTATACAAAGATTATATACTCAAGATTAGTGGAGCATGAGCAATTCAGTCCATATTACCAGAAAACAACACCTCTTTTAACCTAAAATAAATGGTAAATGGCTGCACTCTGTACTAGTTCTATCCACAGAGTTTGAATGTATCATTTCCATAATGTAGTAATGTCAACTAAGGAAAGGCAATAGATGGGAAATCACAACCCTGCTTCCATGTGCAGTATCTACCTGATTCAGTAGTTGAGATGTTTTTTGCACAGTCTTCGTTGTTTTGTGAAGCATCTTGTACTGGGCACTCTGCATTTTCCATCGCACTAAGATTAATTCTTTGCTCATCTGTGTCTCCTAGAGACTGATCAATATGACAATAGGCCTGCTGTAATGCTTCAATATCACTGTTAGTTTGTCCATAGGAAATACCTGCTGGAAATTAACAATCACAAAATGCAGGGAACTGAATATTCATTAGAGAAACAATTAGTAAACTCAACACATTGGAAGCATAAGTTTCAGTTACTAGCATGATCTATTAACAGATAAATAGAACAACATTGTGACAAAGTAATGAGAAAAAGAAAAGAAATCCAACAATTTACTTTTCCTCTCTTGACTCACAATTTCAAAATTTACAGGGAGCAACTATTGCTGAAAACAGCAAACTTCATTTTAACTAGGAAAGTGTTTATTAAACAATACTTGCTCTTCTCTAAAGTCTTTTCTCTGCAATTATAGGTGTTTCTATTTTTATATATATTTTCACTACTAAAACTCACACAAATGAGAAATATATTTTGTTAGATTAAATACAGTGTGCCTATGATGAAATAAGTGTATTGTAAGTTTTCATGGAGTTATATATTTTCTCATTGTTTTGACTTCTCTCTCCCATGACAGTTTCAAGTACAATTAAAATTTTAGCTGCTGTAAATGTCTATTTCTGACTTCTAAATGAAATTCAATTGCTAAAGTGTGGGTGTGGGTGTTTGAGAAAGCAGCTTGCAGTGATCAAGAAAGAATAAAAGAAAATATTTAAAACTTAAGTATCAGTTGTCTAGAAAAGGCCTTTATGAAAAAAAATTTAAGCCTGAAAAGAAAAAATATTTCCTTCCTCAAGATTTTGGTCATTACCAACCAGGGCTTGATTTGCATAGGGAACGTAGAATTTCCTTATTTCCTCTATCCAATCCTCTGGAGCCATCAAGTCTTCAGCTAAAATCGAGTCTAAAACAAAACAAGACAAGACAAAGCAGCCTTACCAGTTCTATTTATTTCATCCTTAGTGACGTCAGGTGTCTCATGTTCAGTCACTGCTGCATCTTGCTGTTCAATGACCTTTTGGGTTTCCATGGTGGAGTCTTGTGAATCAAGCAACACAACTAAAAGGATACAAAGAGATAAACCTGGGACTTTAGAGAACACTGTCACTGATTTGATATTATACTTTCTCCATCCTGCCCCAGTGGATGCAGAATAAAATTTTAATCAGTTAGGAATAGATTGGCACCTTGCGATCCGCAATGCGTATGGGACAGTTCCTAGTTGCACTTCCACCAGCAGCAAAGCAGGCCTTTTCAGTCTCTGCTTCCCTCTTGCTCCTTGGGGGAAGCAAGCTGCTCCAGCTCTTTTCCCAGTTCAGCTTCCCTGCCCACTCTGCTCCAAACCAGCTCAGTTGTGCTGGCTGGCACACTAGAAAAGAGGAGCTAAGGCTCAATCCACACCCCATTCCTGCCTACCCACCTGCATGGGAGAGGAAGTAGTGGCTTAGCTATTGCTATTTCCCCACCGTGCTGTGACAAGCACCGCGAGTAGCCAAATGGGTGTACACACTCAGGGCGCCGGCTCCAGGGTTTTTGCCGCCCCAAGCGGCGGGGAAAAAAAAAAGCCACGATCGTGATCGGCAGCAGCTCCACTGCGCCGCTTTCTTCTTCAGCGGCAATTTGGCGGCAGGTCCTTCCCTCCGAGAGGGACAGGGACCCTCTGCCGAATTGCCGCCGAAGAGCTCGACGTGCTGCCCCTTCCCCTTGGCCGCCCAAGCACCTGCTTGCTCAGCTGGTGCCTGGAGCCGGCCCTGAACACACCCTTATACTACACTGCACAGATAGGCTCATGAGTAAGCCCTTTAGATAACCCTCATGAATTAAGCCCTCACTTGGTTTTATTACTAATAGGCCTTTACCATTTATCCCTTCAAATTCAGGATTAGCATACTTGAACATAAAATAGACTGTTAGAGTAGTTAATATTTTGTTAACCCACCAGCAGATATTTTGTTACTGATGCAGGCCTTGCTGGAGCCCTATGCATAGCTAACAGTGTGACTCAAAGGATATGGAGCACAGCAGGCTTGGCCATGGCAACATAACTAATACACTAGATCAGTGGTCTCCAAAGTGGGGTGCGCGCAAGAGGATCCTTGGGGGTGCGCGGCAGTTCGGGCGGGAGTCCGAGCGGTCTTCTTTTTTTTTTTTTTTTTGCTTTGGCAAAAGTGGTAGAGCTGGTGCGGCATGGGGTGCATGCTCAGAATTTTTTTACCGATAGAGGTGCGATCAAAAAAATTTGGAGACCACTGCACTAGATACTGGCTAACCAAGTAAGCACATTCCTGACCGGAGAGGAAGTAACTACGTAAATATATTCCAGGAAGTTAATACAAATACACCACAACCTAGCATAAGATAAAATGGTTTGACAGAGTAACGGATAGGGGTGTTTTGTCTGAGACATCAGAAGCAAGGTACAAGGGAAGGTAACAAACTGATGTCACGAAACACATGAGGTGGTACATAAATTGTTTAACCCAGTTGTTTGTCTCAGTCTATAAATGTCAGGGCACCTCGCCTTAATCTTTTGTGTGGCCGAGAGGACAACAGAAATTCCCGCTGTCTGAGCCACTCCTTGCCACGGGGCACTCATATGTTAATGTACTTGTGCAAGTTGTGAGAGTCGTTAGGACTGTGCCTAGAGGGCAATAAACCTGGCTGCGTGCCTTAGTCACTGAACCGTGCCTGTGGTCTTTCTCTATGAGTAACATCGAGGTCTGCTGAATTAGCAGGCTGAGCTTTCTGCTTGTGCTGGTAACACCGAAGCTCCAAGAACAGAGGCACTGAGCAGCTGTAACAGCTTAGCAACCTTGACAGTGTTGCCGCAAAAACATTCCTCCGCACTTATGAACTGGCTAAAGACAGTTCAGTTGTTAGACCCCCACATGTTTTGTAGACAGACCAAACAACAACATGCCTCACTATAACAACATTACTCTAAAGGACTCTCCAAAAATCAGCATGATTTTTTTTTTAAATTGCCAAAATAAAACTCATTTAGCAATTTCTGAATTATGTAAACCCCCCTTTTTGGAGGGAGGAGACAAGTGAGAATAGGAAAAACATTCTGTTAATTTCTGAAAGACTTCCTGTGCACCTCATGATCACTTCACTCCCAGACAGCTGGGTAAGCAAGCTACAGATTTTCTTCTTCACTCTGGTAAAGGAGACCGTTGTAGAAGTGACCAATAATAAAATATCCATTTCTCCAGAAGTGGGTGTGTTATGACTGGAGGTCAGAGTGCTAGACAACAAGGTTAAGATTTTCAAAGACAACTAAGGAATTTAGTTATAACTCCCACTGAAATGAATAAGGCTGGATCCCTAGCTGGCTCTGAAAAAAACTCAACCCAAGTTTTTTGGGTTGGTGGCTTTGGCTTTCAACAGGTAGGTCACAAAAAGCATGTAAAACACTGGTGTCCAACCTTCCAGCACAGGACCAAAAATATTACATCAAACTATCAAGGGGTTATAATCAGGAGGATAGGGGCAGTTTAAGCTGCTATCTTTTCTGCTTTGATCCCTAACTTTAGGTTCAAAGATGCTCAATTGCTCTCACCCTGCCAAGTATCAGTTGGGCTTGGAGAAGGAAGCTGGGGCTTCCATAATCAAGTCCTGGTTTTAGAACATAAGAACGGCCATACTGGGTCAGACTAAAGGTGCATCTAGCCCAGTATCCTGTCTTACAACAGTGGCCAATGCCAGGTGCCCCAGAGGGAATGAACAGAACAGGTAGTCATCAAGTGATCCATCCCATCACCCATTCCAAGCTTCTGGCAAACAAAGGCTAGGGACACCATCCCTGCCCATCCTAGCTAATAGCCATTGATGGACCTATCCTCCATGAACTTATCTAGTTCTTTTTTGAACCCTGTTATAGTCTCGGCCTTCACAACATTCTCTGGCAAGGTGCTCCACAAATTGACTGTGCCTTGTGTGAAAAAAATACTTCCTTTTGTTTGTTTTAAACCTGCTGCCTATTAATATCATTTGATGACCCCTAGTTCTTGTGTTATGAGGAGTAAATAACACTTATTTACTTTCTCCACACCAGTCATGATTTTATGGACCTCTATCATATCCCTACCTTAGTCGTCTCTTTTCCAAGCTAAAAAGTCCCAGTTTTATTAATCTCTCCTCATTTGGCAGCCGTTCCATACACCTAATTGTTTTTGTTGCCCTTTTCTGAACCTTTTTCCAATTCCAATATATCTTTTTTTTGATATGGGGCAACGACATCTGCACGCAGTATTCAAGATGTGGGTGTACCATGGATTTATATAGAGGCAATATGATATTTTCTGTCTTATCTATCCCTTTCTTAATGATTCCCAACATTCTGTTAAATGTTTTGACTGCCGCTGCACATTGAGTGGATGTTTTCAGAGAACTGTCCAGGACTCCAAGATCTCTTTCTTAACATAAGAACATAAGAACGGCCGTACCGGGTCAGACCAAAGGTCCACCTAGCCCAGTATCCTGTCTACCGACAGTGGCCAATGCCAGGTGCCCTAGAGGGAGTAGACATAACAGGCAATGATCAAGTGATCTCTCTCCTGCCATCCATCTCCATCCTCTGACAAACAGAGGCTAGGGACACCATTCCTTACCCATCCTGGCTAATAGCCATTAATGGACTTAACCACCATGAATTTATCCAGTTCTCTTTTAAATGCTGTTATAGTCCTAGCCTTCACAACCTCCTCAAGTAAGGAGTTCCACAAGTTGACTGTGCGCTGCATGAAGAAGAACTTCCTTGTATTTGTTTTAAACCTGCTGCCTATTAATTTCATTTGGTGACCCCTAGTTCTTGTATTATGGAAATAAGTAAATAACTTTTCCTTATCCACTTTCTCCACATCACTCATGCTTTTATATACCTCTGTCATATTCCCACCCCTTAGTCTCCTCTTTTGCAAGCTGAAGAGTCCTAGCCTCTTTAATATCTCCTCATATGGGACCCGTTCCAAACCCCTAATCATTTTAGTTGCACTTCTCTGAACCTTTTCAAGTGCCAGTATATCTTTTTTGAGATGAGGAGACCACATCTGTACGCAGTATTCGAGATATGGGCACACCATCGATTTATATAAGGGCAATAATATATTCTCAGTCTTATTCTCTATCCCCTTTTTAATGATCCCTAACATCCTGTTTGCTTTTTTGACCGCCTCTGCACACTGTGTGGACATCTTCAGAGAACTATCCACGATGACTCCAAGATCTTTTTCCTGACTTCTTGTAGCTAAATTAGCCACCATCATATTGTATGTATACTTGGGGTTATTTTTTCCAACGTGCTTTACTTTACATTTATCCACATTAAATTTCATTTGCCATTTTGTTGCCCAATCACTTAGTTTTGTGAGATCTTTTTGAAGTTCGTCACAGTCTGCTTTGGTCTTAACTATCTTGAGCAGTTTAGTATTATCTGCAAACTTTGCCACCTCACTGTTTACCCCTTTCTCCAGATCATTTATAAATAAGTTGAATAGGATTGGTCCGAGGACTGACCCTTGGGGAACACCACTAGTTACCCCTCTCCATTCTGAAAATTTACCATTAATTCCTACCCTTTGTTCCCAGTCTTTTAACCAGTTCTCAATCCATGAAAGGACCTTCCCTTTTATCCCATAACAGCTTAATTTACGTAAGATATTGAATTTTTGGTGCAAAATTAGAGACTGTTGAGACCTATTTAAAAATTAAGACATATGGATCATCCTTAAATACTTCAGTCCATGATTAGGGAGCAGTAAATTCACATACAGAAATAAAACAGATTTACTTGCTATATGTTTTACAAATATTTTCACGCTACTGCAAGTTTAAATTTTTACCTTTAGCCAGCATGCCAGTCTTTTCATCCTAAAACAATTGAAACAGTGAAGGATAGTTACTTTGTGAATTTGAAAAAAAAAAAAGTTTAATCTTTAAAGAGATTAAAAGTTTGATTTAGTTCATGTGCAGTTCAATATTTATAGTATGAGTTTAAGCTGTGCAACTGCTTGGAGCACTATGTAGTTATGATACAAATAGATGAACTGGAACCATACATCCTCCCCATTCTTTTACTCTGCTTCCCCCTTTGGAGTGAGATGGAACTAGATGCTAAAAATGTTATTGCAAATTACAATACAAGAAAATCAGAAAACACCAAGTTAGTGTCCTTATTACAGCATTCATTTTGTACTTCCTAACTGCTTTGCCTTCAAATTTGAAGCCTTAAAGTGGTATGAACATGGGCGGAGGTGCAGTTTGTGGTTTTGCATTTATTAGGACTAGCATTTCAACTAATACTTTTTTTTTTTTAAACAAGCTACAAAAATTTGAGGGTCATCAACTGAAGATGAATGTGAGCTGTTCTAGACAACAGAATGTAATGTAGATAAGCTGTAATCACATACATGGTACGCCCTACTAAATAAAGTTTACCTCTACTATGTTGCACTGAATTTTTTAAAGAATTTTGCTCAGAAATAAGAATCATTTTATGCACCAGTGTTTTATTATTCAGTCTTAAGGGACCAGAAGTATCTGAAAATAGGTTTAGCTCATTTTCTATAGATGTGGTACAGTGCATAGATACCACACAAAATATCCTTACAAAGACTTATTGTCTTTAATTTTGCATTGAAGGCTTACCTCTTGGTCTCATTGTTTTGCTTACATAAAACACACTGGGTCCAATTCTTGGACCCAAAGGGTAGGAAAAGGTGACTTTATATCACGTTTTAGGCCCCTGGATTTTAGGGTGATCCTGTGATGGTTTGGCCCTGGTGAAAATTAGACCAGCCTCAGAACTGCTCTAACCTAGGCCAAGTGATCCCCAAAAAGCTGTTGCAGCAATCAGAAATAGCCAGAACATACAGCCACTCCGGCCATGCCTTCTATGCCAAGGGCAGCTGTCATAACTATAAAGGGAAGGGTAACAGCTGTCCTGTGTACAGTACTATAAAATCCCTCCTGGCCAGAGACTCCAAAATCCTTTTCCCTGTAAAGGGTTAAGAAGCTCAGGTAACCTGGCTGGCATCTGACCTAAAGGACCAATAAGGGGACAAGATACTTCCAAATATTTGGGGGGGGGGGAGGAAGGTTTTTGTTTGTGTTCTTTGTTTGTGAGTGTGTTCGCTCTCGGGAC